TTATGCGGAGGTTGTATCGTGCATTCGGTTGATTTGAGCTCAACAACATTCCAAATTACTCAAGCCATTTGCTCAAGGGGTTGGACGTGAACTGACACTGTATATTGCTGACGAGTCCCGTGTAAGATGCGGATCAATCGCCCAGTACTCTGTGGTCAACAATTACATAGTAATTTTTGTGAAAAATAACGTACACTAACTACAAGGTAATCAACAAACTACCAACGAACAAAATCTACATTTCACCAAATTGGAACCGTTCGTGTTTCCGCGGAAATGAACAACTGCCACACGTCTCAAGTGAGAAAGGACCTGGGCATCATCATTCAAGAAACGTAAGCTGCTCACTCAATTGTGCCAAGGTGACAAACACAGCTGTAAAGAATATCGGTTTGCTTAAAAGGTTTTTTTGCCGGTTTCAGTCAGCGCATTACCTCCGCGTTTCCATCAGCATACATTGGACCGGTCACAGAATAAGCCATCCAAGCATTGAATCCATGGCTACAATGTGATTGCAAAATGCTAGAGCGTTCACAAAGAATGGCCACCAAAATGATTCAGCAGTGGAATCGTTACTCATACGCAGAGAGCCTGAAGTGGTGTGTGGCGTGCCAGAGGAGATAAGATTATGGTATACCAAATAATGCAAAACCAAAGCCATCCGTGTCGCCCGCTGCTAAAATTGTCACCCATCACGTTCATCTTAGAGGACATCCATTTAATTGTGAATATTAATGTTATGATGTTAATAACACAGCGATGTCGGCGATTTCAACATACATACATTCTTTCGGGTTGACAACACTCTGAAACACCATCTCGTGAAAGCCAAAGATCCGGTCGAATTACAAGATAAAAACAACTGCATTTACAAAATCAATGGTAAAGAATGCCCCGCAGAATACTTTGAACAAACCAGCAGATAACTCAAGGCAAGAATAACCGAACACAAGAGAAAAGAAACACATCGTCCGACGGACCAAGCAACTCTGGCAAAATTGGAACGAGACTCAGCGATCGCTCTTCACGTCACAGTCGAAGGTCACACTATAGACTACGACAACCCAAAAATACTCCAAATCGGATTTCAAACATGCACTGAACGCTCGTTTGCCGAAGCTTTGGTCATTAACAACCACTCTGCATGTGTCAACAGAAACGACGAAATCGAGATCCCGAGTATTTGGACTACCCTAACATCCGTAACGCGCAATTACGACAAAGGTCACGGTGCCACTTGACTCCATCTGATTGTGGGAGTTAGTAAGATGGACAAAGAATCACTCCGTCCACCACCACAGACACACACACAGACAAACATAAACACGATGAAATATCCGATAACTTGTGATCCTTTCCTCTGAGTCATTTGATTGTAAAACTTCCCTTGAGAAAG